CTACTACGACGACGACGACGACACGACTACGACCACGTGACGACGACGACTACTACGTACTCATGATGGGAATAAGATAAGTAATAATAATCATCATCATTGCTAAAATTGCTACCCACTTCTCGAATTTCATGTCATTGTAGATACATGCACATGGTGAAATCGCTGTGTCTTGCGGCGCGGCTGACAGGTGACTGAGTCCGTGTGACACGGAGACTAACAATTTTAATAATTTATACCAGTCATGACAATCATATCATTGGTAATAATGGTGGTGGTAGTAGTAGTAGTAGTAACATGACAGTAATAATGATAAGGACAATAATGTAAAAGCCTGCATATTCGGTAGTACTATTACTATTCCTCGAGGTTCCTGACTGCAACTACATATACCATAATATACCACAGGCCTTTGTTCAACGATGAAGGCTCTGTAAATTAGGGTTCAGATTTTCCGAAGAGCATAAAGCAAAACTGGCAATACAAGGGCAAGGACCTCTAAAAAGACTATCTTCGCATGGAGCGGCATCGCAACGCTTTTGCTCGGGAGGTTAAGAGACGTCGAACAGCCGTCCTTTCATGAGGCAGGGGCTGCAGATGGAAGGACGCGCTCACGATATCACTGTGTAGCAAAGGCCAGTCAGCCAAACAGCACCCTAAACCCTAACCCATTTTGGAACGGACTCGGACATGCTGGATGATGGTGGTAGAGATCATTGCTGTTCACTTCCCCTAGGTTGCGAACTTGGCATCGTAGTGTGAACGGCTGATCTTTATCCCCTAGTGCACAGTCTGTCAATTCCTCAATGAATCCTCGCTTGTGGGCATAGATCCTTAGCCATGCGAGAGGGAAAAAACCCATTTTGGAACATCAAGGGTCCAAGATGCAACCAGATGACCAGGCCGACCAGGCCGCGGAGGATGACAAGTTTGATTTCTCCGACTGCATCGTGCATCAGGCTAGAGAGAGAGAGAGAGAGATATATATATATACACATAAACAAATGAATAAATAAATATACATAAATATAAATAAATAAATAAATAAATATATATATAGGAAGGAGAGGAGAGAGAGAGAGAGAGAG